GAGGTCAGATAGAAGACTGAAGGGGAGGACGGAGGTCAGATAGAAGACTGAAGGGGAGGACGGAGGTCAGATAGAAGACTGAAGGGGAGGACAGAGGTCAGGCAGAAGACTGAAGGGGAGGACAGAGGTCAGATAGGAGAATGAAGGGGAGGGCGGAGGTCAGACAGAAGACTGAAGGGGAGGCCAGAGGTCAGATAGAAGACTGAAGGGAAGGCCAGAGGTCAGATTTATGGGAGGAAGCCTTAGACGGTTGCTCATTTAGCTCGGCCAGAACTCAAACCTAGAATCCCTTTGTTCGGATAATGAGGTTCTGCAGCTTCTTGGGCTCATTGAACAATAAAAGAACATTATTACATACTGTGTTCTGCTCGTCCTGTAAACTGCCCAAACACCACCCCAAAAGTGCCTGAAACATGTTAGCGATCAGAGCTTTAGCCCCCCACCCCGAATTCTGGGGTGATAATATAAGGACGGGTTTCCGGCAGGTATAGTTGCAGTATTTGGATCAGCTCGGAGTTTTGGTTCAGGTTTTGCCAGCAGGAGGTCATGTGGTCTGCGGTCTGACATCAAAGCATTCCTCTCCGCTGTCCTTTGTAGTCTGTAATGGTCATCAGTGGGAGGGATCAGCCGAGTCAGCGACATTCCGGTCTTAGAGGAGACCGGCCCATCCGTCCCATCAGCAGCCTCCAGGGTGTGATAGGGAGGCTCTGCACTCCTCAGATACACGGGAGGAATTCTTTGATGCAGACAAGATCTCTTAACAGTTCCTGTTCTGAAGGTGATTTTAGTTTTATACATAAAGTTGCATTTTACTGCATGCAAGCTACATACCATGTGACCTGGCGCTGCCTCAAATGTGGCCGTATGATAGAGTACAATACAAGGCCAAGAGTGTGAGGAACCTCTCCAGATGATGGCGGCCAGGAGTTCCCAGTGAAGGTTCCGGTGATCCTCCATCATACAAAGACATTGGAGACAATTGTGCTCTTCCACCCTTGTGGTCACAGTTTGGTGAAGACCCTTTTCTGTCCCACCATGACTGTCCCGTGTGTACAGAGCCAGCTCTATAAAGACATGGTGTGGTCAGTTTGGTGGAGGCCAGTCAAGTTCCACTTCACCAGAGCCCCGGCCTCAACCCTATGGAACATAGGTATGCCATAAGAATTATTGAGTTGAGGTGCCCAAAGCCGGCTCCATACAGACATGGTGTGACCAGCTTGGTGTGGAGGAACTCGAGTGTCCTGTACAGAGTCCTGACCTCAACCCTACTGAGCGCCTTTGGGATGTATTGGAACACTGATTGTAAGACCAGGTCTTCTCATCCAACATCAGTACCTACATAGTTACATAGTATTTGAGGTTGAATAAAGACATTAGTCCATCAAGTCCAACCTATTAGGATCTCATTCTAGGAGTACCTGTACCCCTGTATATTACCCGTACCCCTGTATATTACCTGTACCCCTGTATGTTACCCGTACCCCTGTATATTACCTGTACCCCTGTATATTACCTGTACCCCTGTAACTGACCCTACAAATGGGACATCCTACAAATGATGGCGGTCTGGGGTCTCCAGTGAAGGTTCTGGTGATCCTCCATCATACAAAGACATTGTAGACAATTGTGAACTTCCAGCCTTGTGAAGACCCTTTTCTGTCCCCCCCATGACTGTCCCGTGTACAAAGCCAGCTCCATAAAGACATTATGTGACCAGTTTGGTGGAGGCCAGTCAAGTTCCACTTCACCAGAGCCCCGGCCTCAACCCTATGGAACATAGGTATGCCATAAGAATTATTGAGTTGAGGTGCCCAAAGCAGGCTCCATACAGACATGGTGTGACCAGCTTGGTGTGGAGGAACTCGAGTGTCCTCTACAGAGTCCTGACCTCAACCCTACAGAGCGCCTTTGGGATGAAATGAAACACTAAATGTAAGACCAGGTCTTCTCATCCAACATCAGGACCTGACATAGAAATGTTGGAGTTCTGGGGTCTCCAGTGAAGGTTCCGGTGATCCTCCATCATACAAAGACATTGTAGACAATTGTGATCTTCCAGCCTTGTGGTCACAGTTTGGTGAAGACCCATTTCTGTTCCACCATGACTATCCCCTGTGTACACAGCCAGCTCCATACAGACATGGTGTGACCAGCTTGGTGTGGAGGAACTCGAGTGTCCTGCACAGAGCCCTGACCTCAACCTTACTGAACACCTTTGGGATAAATTGGAACAGCAATTGTGAGCCGGGTCTTCTCACCCAACCACAGTACCTGACCTAACAAATGGGTATAAATTCCCAAAGACACACTCTCAAAATCTTATTGAAGGTTGTCCTAGAAAAGCGGAGGCTGTTATAGCCACAAAGAGGTGGCCAACAGTTTTGGTGAAGGCCCTTTTCTGTTCCACCATGACTCTCCCATGTGTACAAAGCCAGCTCCATACAGACATGGTGTGACCAGCTTGGGGTGGAGGAACTCGAGTGTCCTGCACAGAGCCCCGACCTCAACCCGATAGAACACCTTTGGGATGAATTGGAACGCACGGTCTTCTCACCCAACATCAGTACCTGACCTCACCAATGGGACAAATTACCTCTGAAATCTTGTGGAAAGAATAGTGGAGGATGTTATAGCAACAAAGGGGGGAAACTCCATATAAATGGCCATGGGGGGGTACTCCATATTGGGTACTGAGAGATGAGGGTGGTGAAGGACCCAATCAAATGAAGGTGAGGAGAGAGATAGGTGATGGTTAGAAGGTCACTCATAGAAGGTCAGGAGGGATGAGGATGGTGAAGAGCCCAATCAGAGGAAGGTGATGGGAGATTGGGATTGATTGAATCTATGAAGACATGGTGTGACCAGCTTGGTGGAGGAACTTGAGTGTCCTGCACAGAGCCCTGACCTCAACCCTACTGAACGTTGATTGTGAGCCCGGTCTTCTCATCCAACATCAGTACCTGACCTCACCAATGGGACAAATTCCCTCAGACACCCTCCAAGATCTTGAGGAAACCCTTCCCAAAAGCATGGATGAGGTTATATCTACACAGAGAGGATAACTTCCTATTAATGGCCATGGCTCTGGAATGGGACACCCAACATGCTCAGATAGATGTGATGGTCAGGTGTCATTGGACCGCACAGAGTGATAACCTACTTGACAATGGTGCCTTCCTTCATGGTCAGTTGGATCCAGTGCTGTCCGTGGGACCCGTCGCTCTCCCAATAGGTGTCATGCAATCCATCCGTCAGGCAGGCCAGGTTATTTTCTTCCTGTGGGGACATAAGTCACGCTTCAGACTTGGGGGTGATCTCCTTCCAGAATGGACGGGTAGCGCTGTGGCCCCCGGACTCATCCTATTCCTATTATAATACAATAGTGTTGCATTGGAGATTATACGAGGCGCCTGGATACACCCCTGAGGAATCCCACCGTGTCCGTGGCTCCCCCACCCCTGAGGAATCCCACCGTGTCCGTGGCTCCCCCACCCCTGAGGAATCCCACCGTGTCCCTGGTCTGTAACGCCAATCAATGAACATGAGGCCGAGGAGCCGCAGTGTGAGTTAATAGTCCAGATACAGATTTACTCTAATGAAGCATCAGATGGAAGAAATCTGATGCGTTTCGGGGGACTAAAACTTCTCCCGTCATCAGGGCGTAAAGAAGAACAATGAGTCCTCCCGTTACCCTAAGGAGGACTATGGGGAAAAACACTGACCCCATAGTTCTCCTTTAACCCTTGGGGGAGGGGAGGGGCGGCTTCCAAATTTAAGAACAATTGTATACAATCTGAAAGACGAGCGCCAAACCATCGCCCTAGGAGCCCCCCATTTTTATGGTTAAATTGAATCTGTCGAAATGAGGACAGATTTTGGCCAACATTTAGGGGGAAGGGATTGGGGATAGAACATTGATGGCCGGATAGGCCCCCCCCCCGATAGGATCGTACCGTAGCGGAGGAGACGTTGATACTGTCCACAAACTGTTTTATGTTTCCGAGGCTCTCGTCCTCCTTCCCCACATGTTCATACAGGAAGTGGACCAAATCCTCATCACACTCGTATGTCCAGGATGGAGGGACGTACCTGCCGGAGGAGGAGGAGAGACAAAAACAACAACCTGAAAATATCTGCGACCTACAAAACGAAAAGTAACAGAGCTTTGCAGACGATCCACAGCAGACCCGATATAAAAGGTGGGTACTCCTAGCAGAGACATGACGGGAACAGACTTAAAGGAGAACTATGGGGTCAGGGCTTTTCCCCATAGTTCTCCTTAGGGTAACGGGGGGACACAAACTAGCGTCCTCCCGTCACCCTAAGCTCAGTATATAGGGAGTTACAGCTCGCGGTATACTGAGACGCCGCAGCTGAAGCCGATCCCGACGTAGATGACGGGATCCGCCCAGCTGCGTGACTGACAGCTGGCTCTGCCTATCTAGAGGCAGAGCCAGCTGTACCCGCCCCCTCCCGTCCGTTCCACCAGTCAGCGCTGGAAGATCGGAGCGGGGAATCCAGCCCCTCCCCTGTCACGGCAGAGAGCTGTGACAGGATCGAGAGGTGAGCGAATGCCGGGATGTGTTCGCTCACCTCCCGATCTACTGAGGCAACCTGTGACAGTCTCATTGTCACAGGTCGGCTAGAACTATGAGGTGAGTGAAAAGCACCCCAACACTGAGCGGGGGTAAAAACCCCCCCCCCCCCCCCTCATAGTTCTCCTTTGAAGGCGGGTACAACATTCATCAAGGTTGGTAATCCCAGTGAAGACATAAAAGGTGGGCGGTACAAAGGTAAAAGGGTGGAATTCCATGAACAGAAATCACACAATGTGGTGGCAGACCACGCCGAGCCTGATATGTTCATGCGTCACGCATTGTATTTGGTATCGGAGACTGCTGGGTCAAAGGTCACAGATCATTACCGCAATTTCTGTACAGCCTCCTCATCCGGTTGGGTGCAACCTGGCCTTCTTCCCAGACGCATGGAGTAGGCGCCATCCACAACATCCTCCCACCTGAAGAGGGACAGGAATCAATATATATATATACACACACACAGGTCATAAAGCCGTCCCCCTCCTATGTGCAGGAAGTTCTCTTTATGGTCCTCCTACCTGCTGATTGGTTTATAATCCACTCCGAATAGCTGCTGCTGCTCCGTGGTCTTGTCCGGGGATTCCACGCGGACCAGCCGATCCCCCCCTTCATCCTGCCTGCAGAGGAGGACCCAACCTTCCGCCATGTCACAGCTGCTGCGATACTCTTCCATCTGCTCCTAGAACACAGAGATCACCAGGAGATACAATGACACCTCATGATATCTCCAACCCGCCCATTATGAGGGGCCCCCACCATCCCTGTGCTGAGTTCCCGGGTCTGTACCCCCGCTGTGCCCATTATGAGGGGCCCCCACCATCCCTGTGCTGAGTTCCCGGGTCTGTACACCCGCTGTGCTCATTATGAGGGGCCCCCACCATCCCAGGAGCACAGACACCCCCAGGTGGGCGGAGCAGAGCCTCTACGAGACATGAGAAGTCATCAGGGGCCTTTAACGGCTCCCAGTCCTGTGCGGTGTTGCCACGGAGATGCCGCGTTCTCACCTTGCTCAGCTTCACCCACAGGCCGTTGGCGTTGCCGTACTCCTCGCCGGTGGCTTTGACGCAGCTTCCCTTCTGCACCTCCACGGTGGCCCGGGCCAGTTTCTTCAGGTTCTGCTTGGAGTAGCCGGGGGCCTCCCACACGGTCAGCAGGGAGCGGGAAGAGGCGGCCGAAGCGGGGTCCTTACAGATCTTGTACAGCACCTCCCCGGGGACATAGCACAGAGCCTGGGGGAGGGGCTGAGCCCGGCGCAGGCACTCTATACATTCCAGCACGCAGCGGATCTGACCCAGGAGTCGGCGCGGATCGTTGGCGTCCTGCATGGCGGAAACACTGCGGACAACAAGAACAAAAAACACATTCAGCTAAACTCCAGAGAGAGATATAAGACAGCAGAGCTCAGACTGGGAGAGGGAGAAGCAGCACAAGGAACCAACCAGCTGTGCTGCACTTCCTCTGGCCTGCAGCAGACTGATGACATCATCTCAGTGTGGGCAGGGCCAGTGTCTGGTGCTCTGGGACGGATCAGGTGATCGCAGAGAATTGTTTGTAAATAATAAAAAATGACAACAAAGAGAATTGGGAAGATTTTATTCTTATTGAAGAATCACATTATGCAAATGTCTGGGGGGACTTGGACCGGGGCCCGGGGTACCAAGCGACCTCAGGGGGTATAAAGGGACAACTCAGGGGGTATAAAGGGGCACCCGCCGGCCTCAGGGGGGTATAAAGGGGCACCCGCCGGCCTCAGGGGGGTATAAAGGGGCACCCGCCGGCCTCAGGGGGGTATAAAGGGGCACCCGCCGGCCTCAGGGGGGTATAAAGGGGCACCCGCCGGCCTCAGGGGGTATAAAGGGGCACCCAATACAAACAATTGGCACAGCAACGTTCCTGGATGCCGCCTGGACCCCCTCAGCATTGGACCCCTGTGGGACATGTCAGATGATTTTATAATTTCTCTATGGAGCAGACAGTCCTCATTACATGCACACACAACACCCCCCTACAGGGGCCCCCCCTCCATGCCACACATAGTGAGAGCAGCCCATACACATACCTACAACTGCGCTCCTCCAACCAAAATCACTACCGTATTACCCCACCCAACCCGGAAGCCGACTCTACCTTATATCCTAGAAGAGCAGCTCACTTCTCCCGTATGTCCCAGGGTAGATGCACCCACTATACCGTATACTCCAGAGTAGCTGCGCGTCGCCTACCGTATATATACCACAATATGTGTACGCTGTCTGTAATATATCCCTGTGTAGCCGAGCGTCCTCGACTGTCTATACAGCTGTGTGAAAAAGAAAGTACACCCTCTTTGAATTCCATGGACGTAATAAAACTCATCTGGTCCTCAACAGGTTTTAGAATGGGGTTAATACAACCTCAGACGGACAACAGCACACGTTACACCGCGCCATTATTTATTTTACTAACCTAAAGCCAAAGTGCAAAAGTTATGTAGGAAAAACTAAGGGGGTCGTTCACCAAGCTGCCGAAGTCTGCCGAGTGAATAACCGAGCTGAAGCGAAGGGAGCCGAACGCCAATCAGATATTCAATTCAGCCGCACAGCCTCACCGAAGTGAAGAACGCGTTCGCCTCGGCCGATCTAACATCTGGGATTTTCTGAGGCCAGCGTTCGGGAGTTCATTCCCTGCTGTTCACCCCTATTCTTATATACCCTGTTTCCCCCGAAAATAAGACCTAGCTGTGACCATTCCCAGGGCCGGTGGTGGCATAAGGGGGGAACTTGAAGAGCCGCGGGAGAAAATCAGCGGTGCCAACGAAGCCGGCGCTAGAGGAAGCGAGGCGGCAGCGCAGGGAGCAGAGCCGCACAAGCCAATGCCTCCTCTATAGCGGCAAATGCAAACAAAGGGGCGGGGGCGGTGTGACATCATTGACCAAATATGGTCATGACCTTATTTGGTCACCGACACCTTCCAGCGGGGTAGTGATTGGTGAGAGGTCAGCGGCCGCCCGTGTCCTAGCAACCAATGACGCCGTGCAATAGGAGGAGCAGCAGGATGTGCGGGCCGGACTCCGAAACTGACACTTCAGGATTGCAATGTAAATTAAAGTGACGATTCCCCATTCTGGAGGGTCAAGAGACAGAGAATATCTCTCATACAAAATATGACCCCCCCTTCACAGATGGTGCGTCCCGCCCAGCCAAGCGGCCTCTGATAAGTGTTATCTGAAATTCTGCCCCTGTTATCAGAGAACGCAGATGGTGGGGGAGGGGAAGGGCCCATTTACACCAGCAACCTGCAATAAAAGCATGGCTGCTGCTGATGTGCCAGTCCCGTTTACTTTTTTTTATCACAACTTTATTTAACCACTTAAAGGCCATGGTGTTTCACCCCCTTCCTGGCCAGGCCATTTTTCAGTGTTCAGCGCTGCGGTACTTTGACTGACATTTATTCCGTCATGCAACGCTGTACTGAAATGAATTTCATACCATTTTTTGGGGACAGATAGAGCTTTCTTTTAGTGGTATTTAATCACCACTGGGGTTTTTATTTTTTACTATATAACAAAAAAGTACCCTAAATTTTGAAAAAAAACCATGTTTCCCTATAAAATGTTATGAAACATTTATTTTCACGCCAATTTTTTGGTATAATCTAAAAGACGGGGTCACGTCGGGATAATAGACACTAAACATGTCAACCTTTAAAATTGCGCGCGCCCGCGAAATCGCAGAAAACTTCCTGCAACCAAAATTGGCCATGGGCGACGCTTTAAACGTATTTACCGCTCATCAGTTTAGTGTCATCAGTGATTGATGGCCCTAGAATTATTATTCTCACTGCGACGTTCGCGGCGATATGTAACATGTGCTGCATAATGGGCGCAATTGTCGTTTTTGTACATAGGCGCACCCGACGCATGTTTGCGTGTGTATGTGGGGGGCGGGGGACTTTAAAACATTTTTTGTGTTATTTTGTTTAATTATTATTTGTGAATATTTTTTTTAGCTTCTTTATTTTTTTTTAATGCTGTAATTTTTTTTTAAACTTTTTTTTTTAGACTTAACTTTATTGCTATAGCATAGGGGACTAAGGAATCCCCTATGTAATAGCCAATTCACCACACAGGTCCTCTTTATGGAGACATCAGGGGTCTCCAAGACCTCTGATGTCACCTAAGGACCCCCCAAAAGCTGATGAAGCAGAGATCTGCTTCATCAGCTTCTCTCCGGTGTTCTGCACCGGAGAGTGACACTGAATGCAGGAAGTGATGTAATATACATCACTTCCTGCATTCGGGGACAGGAAGAGAGATCAAAGGGATGATCAAGTAATGATCTCCCTTTGATCTGCTGTTAGAGCGTCGCCGTGCCGGTCCCAGCCGCACCGGCCACATCGGATCACGGACCGGCAGCGGCGACGAGCAGACAAAGGTACGGGGGGGGGCGCACACCCGCAGCTCCTGCAAGCGATCGGGCGTCTCTAGAGACGCCTGATCGCTTGTATGTAAACAGCCATCGCTGGCTGTTTACATGCTTACAGTTTTCCCTCTCGTGTGCGCGCTGAGTGCCGCACACGAGAAGGGGGAGGGGCAGGACGTCTTAAGACGCCCTCCCGCTCCTAGCAGACGTCCGTCCGGCCGTTCACAAACGGCCATGGACGGAAGGTAGTTAAACACCACAAAGTGACATTTCAAATGTATCTATTGGCATAGCACAGTACAATGAGGTTGTGCCCTGCAGGGTTCTGTAGTGCTGGCAATGCTATGCACACTCATGAGCTGGGAGACATTGGATGGGATTCATAAAAACTGGAGCAGTTGCCCAAGACAACCAGCTTCTTCATTTCCAACCCAACTGATTGGTTGCTATGGGCAACTGCTCCTGAGAGTGCGTCTTGTCCTGTTGTTAGGACTTCCCCTAAGGCCCCGTTCCCACTCCGCGATATGCAAATCGCACGTTTGTCGCGCGATTTGCATATTGCGCGATATCGCGAGATTTGCCACGCGACATCGCGTTCAAGCTTGCATTGAGCAAGCTTGAATCGCGGCTAAATCCGCTCCAAAAAGGGTCCTGCTGTAGCGACACACGACCCGCGACAGCAGGACCCTTTGCCCCGTTGAAATGCATTGGCGCGCGGTAATTTGCCGCGATATCGCGGGAATTACCGCGCGATAAATCGCTCAATGTGAACGGGGCTTTAGTGTGTGTGATGTCAGGCAGTGATCAGAGCCGCTCTGACCCGCAATCTTAAGGCTGGGTTTACACCTAGGCGTATCGAATATGCGCATTTGTCGGTAAAAAATGCGCGTTTCCGAGGGCTACTTGGCTGTATCCCAATGAAAACGCGCGACAAGAACGCCCCAAAGAAGCTCCTGTACTTCTTTGGGCGTAGGACGTCTTGTAGCACGTTCATACGGCCTGTAATACGCCCAGGTGTGAACCGTACCCATAGGAAATAATGGGATTTCGGTGTTTGAGCGTTTTGCAGAGCGTTCGAACGCGCTACAAAACGCCCAGGTGTGAACCGGGCCTAATTAGAGTCACAGCAGGTGATGCTAATTATGGAGGACTCACATTTCTCCTGCAACTCACATTCTCTCATGATCCTCTCTGCTCGGGTATAAGTCATCAAGCCTGATGCGCCCGCGCTACACACACTACGGTAGCGCCGACCCAGGGCCGTGCACGTGTCGCCCTGTCGCGCTCCCGGTTGCCTAGCAGCCGGTCGGCTTACTTAAAGTATGCTAATATGGACGTCGCAGCGTCGTGACGTCTTTTTTCAGCGCGTGAAGAAGGAGGTGGGCGGGGGAAAACTAGGAAGGCGAGCTAGAAGGTAGGGGGCGTGGCCTGGATGTATCGCCTTGCTTCCAGTAGGCGTGGTCGCGGCCGAGTAATGGCTGCGCCCATGTAGAGGCGGTGACAGCGGGCTGAGGTGGGCAGAGCGGCTCAGAGGAGTCCAGAGAAGCAGACATGGAGCGGCCGGAACACCTGCTGTGAGTAACCATTATGGGGCAGGCCAGGGAGAGTGACATTTAAAGGGGCGCTGTCAGAGCAGGACTGCGGGTAGCATTGAAGTGCTGTCACCTTGATAGATGGAGCTGTAACGCCTGATTAGTTGCTGAAGCCAACGGGGAATTGTTGGCCAGGTCCATTATCTATGGATTGCACATGTCTGGGTGGAGTTCCCAGTACTGGAGCTTATGGACCATGTGCGGCTCATAGCACCAGATGTGCAGTGTCGCAACCCCTAGCAACCCTTTCCACAGAGCCATTAAATATATTGCAACCCGTAGAATAGAGCCGTAACCCATAGCGACCCGTGCCGTGGAGCCATAACCCATAGCGACCCGTGCC